ACCGGGATTCGAACCTCTGACCGCTGTGTTCTTAGATAAATTTTGCTTTGCTACCTCTACTCCACCGAGTTCTGTTACCTTATGTAAAATTTTTGGCAAATAACACATTTAACTTTGATTTTAAATTTTAAAATTTAAATGACGCTATTGCTTGCGTTTTGTCCGTATGTCTGAAAGGAAGGTTAATTAAATTAACTTTTTCTGAAATTTTACCTTACGTTTTACATACGTATTTTTACGTAGCCCTTAAAAAGGTGAATTTTCTCACAACTCATTGGTCACGGGTTCAGGCCTCACCGTGAGTAATTTTTTTTTCATTCTTTTTACACTTTTTTGATAGATCATGATGTTTTATGATAAATTTTTCCATTTTCATATTTTTCCACGCGTTTTCCGAGCTTTTCACAGAGTTATTCACTTTTTTCCATACATTTTTCATACCAAATTATTTTTTTGCCATAACTTTTGTATATTTTAAACTTTTAATCTGAAATTTGGCATGTAGGTTAAATGGTTGTTCCTGAATATATAACCGACGCCATTTTCGATTCTAAGGGTTGGAAACCTATGTATAATTTATTTTAGCTATAACTTTGAACTTTTTTGAGATTATGAGTTGAAATTTGGCATAGAGGTTAATTGACTGTTAAAAATAAAGCAAAAATTGCTAAGAACTAGTGTATCGGGTAGAAACCCAAGTTATCCATAAGTTTGAAGGTATAAAGCTAGCGAATCAGCTGAGCTTCGCTCAGCATAAATTTGAAGGTATGAAGCTAGCGCGTCAGCTGAGCTTCGCTCAGCATATGTTTGAAGGTTTAAAGCTTAACGAACATTCTTTGAAAGATTTTTAAAATTTTTTTTTTTTTTCATCCAAAGTTTAATTTTATAAAAATCACAGTGAACTTTTGTTTTGAAAAATTCGTAAAAAGGGAAAGTTTTTTGCTTTTTCTGAAGCAACGGCTGTTTTTACCTTGCCTAAAAACAATGCAGATCTTCTATAGAGCAGCACGAATCAAATGTAAAAAACTAGAAGTCTCCACGATGTTTCGTTTCTTGCTGATTAACTTGCTGGCTTGTTTGCTTACAGAAAGCGTATTTTGCGATTTTCTCAGCAATGCCGCAATCAATTTGAAATCTGTTTTTTGCAAAAGATGTGAAATTCCAGGCACAAACTTTTCATCTCTGAACATTTTAAGCTATCTTGCTCGATATCCTCACAAAATTCAAAAAACTAATATTTCAATCTGAACAAAACCAATAAAAACGGTGTGAATATAAAAAAAAACCCAAAAATGTTTACTGTGATGAAATTTCCAAGTACTCCACAAACGAAATTGAAAAAGTCAAATTTAAAGGAACTGAAGCATCCAAGTAAAAAATTTTAGATGTCAAAAGGTCTTAAATCATGATTCTCATCAGTTTCAATCAAAATTTTCAGAGATCGAAGCCGATTTTTTCGGCTTAACTCAATTTTTGATTATTTTGATAGAAAAAAGCCATTTAACACCCATTTTAAGTATTTAAATTGAACTTTACATGCTTTACTATGATTCTGTGAAATATTTTTTCAGCATGTAGCTATAGTAAGCTCTGAATTTCAATTTAGCCGATTTTAAGCCGATCGGCTTAAATTTCGGCTTAACATTCTTTAACTTGAAATTCTGAGCTCACTATAGCTACATGCTGAAAAAATATTTCACAGAATCATAGTAAAGCATGTAAAGTTCAATTTAAATACTTAAAATGGGTGTTAAATGGCTTTTTTCTATCAAAAAAATCAAAAATTGAGTTAAGCCGAAAAATCGGCTTCGATCTCTGAAAATTTTGGTCATAAACTGCATCGGAAGGAAGTATTTCAAAAATTTCATTTTTCGACAATTTTTTTTTTCCAATACAAAAATAAAGTGCTCCGATTTCAAACTGATAATTATAAACTTTTTTTTTAAATTAAAGCTAGAGATTCTTGTAAGTAAATATTTGTTAAGTTTGTGAATTTAAGTATAATCCAATTGGATGCGACATGTTAAAAAGACGTGCTTCGAGTATATTTGAAAGTGCACTCAGAAAGTGTACTCAGATGAGCATAATGTTTCTTACATAAACTTATTACAAAGACGTGCTCAGAGTACATTTGAGAGTGCACTCAGAAAGTGTACTCAGATGAGTATAATGTTTCTTACATAAACTTTTTACAAAGACGTGCTCAGAGTACATTTGAGAGTGCACTCAGAAAGTGTACTCAGATGAGCATAATGTATTTAAATGTGAATTATCAGAAAGATATGCTCTGAATATGCTCTTGAGTACACTTGAAGAGTATACTGACGAGAGTATACTGTCTTCAAAATTACACTCACATTTGTCATACTCACAATGTGAGAGAGGACATACTCAATAAGTATACTCAAGAGAGCACATAAAGAAATTTTTTTGTATCATGTTGATGTACTTAGAGTATGTTAGAGAGCGTACTCAATGAATGTACTCAAGTGAGTATACTACGTTTTTGTGCTCATTATGTACTCATGAGAGTATGTTCATTTGAGCACATACATTTCTATAATTGAGTATGAAGGTATAAAGCTAGAAAGTCAGCTGAGCTTCGCTCAGCATATGTTTGAAGATATTAAACTGGTTGGTCAGGATTTATACCTTCAAACTTATGCTGAACAAATCTCTGTCTATCCATAAGACTTTTGATGGTACGGTGAGAATATATCCGCATTGGGTTTATACCCGATACACTAGTTTTGTTGTTAAACGACATGTAACATTTTTGCAAGATATATAGATGAAGAAAAAAAGTCATCGATTATTGATGCATTTTAATGAAATTATACGATCTACATTTAGGCAGCATCTTATCTGCACTTTATACGATAAAAATTATCTGAATTTTACCTTTTTTAAAGCAACAGCACTTCATCTGCATTTTAGGGAAAATGAATTTCATCTGCACTTTAGCAGTACCATCTGCATCTTGGCAGTACTATCTGCATTTTAGGGATTTTAGATTGAGGTTTTCTAATAAGCCAATAAAATAATTTTTTGAAATCGATTTTATCCTATAGTGATCTCTTTTTAATTTAAAAATTGAAAGTTATTGCATTCAAAACGTAAAGCATGTGTAATTTTTTTTATATATGCTGTCCCCTGTAACATCCTAAAATTCATATGGATCTTTAGTGATCTTTACTAAATTTAAAATTGAGAAAAGTTTTTTTTTGTTATGAATTGTATAAAATTTATTGTTTGTTTTTAAAGAATTAAAAATTTTTGCTAATTCACTAACTGTTAACATAAAATTTTTAAAATTTAAATCTATACATTAATTTTGATAAAATTAAACTTTTATTACTACACTCTTTAAATAAAATTCATTAACACGCTTATTTTTTGAATCTCCTTTGATTTTTTTTATGATAACCAAGGGGTTCCATACACGTAAAACTCATGACTCAGACTTTTTTTAATGAAAATTAAGAATGAATGCCATGAAATTTTTAAAAAAAGTAATGAAATCTATTCAATTTTGATTTCTTTTTTTTTTAACTCAACACTTACTTATTTAACAGACTTTGTGCCTGTATTATTTATGAATCAAAATTATGGAAAATCATCAACAAAACTTCAAGATTTTTGACCCCCAAGGCATACTTTCTCACTTTTCATACAAAATGTTCTGAAATTTTTCTCTTGCAACCAATTTTGATCAAAGTAGTTTTGATTAAGTTTTTAAGTATAAAATAGCATCTTAATATTCATTTTTCACTATTTAAAATCCATTATTAATCTTTATATAGCATATTTTTCTATCTTAATTTGCTTTAATTCCATTTGAAATAACCTAACTCACAATTCCAGTTTTTTAAAAAACTTTTCCAAATAGAAGCAATCAATCGCAAAATTCAAAATTTTTTAAACTTAAATCATTTTGAAAATAATATGTGTAAAACATATCATAAGAATAATACTGTTCTTCTTAAAGTTAATTAAACTGTTAAATAATTTAAAGAACGTATCAAAAAAATATATTCACATTTTTAAATATATATATATTGAATAAACTTTTTGCATTAAGTCTAGTAACCATGTTTTGGTTAAAAACTTTCACTTCAGTTATATTAGGAAACTCAAAATTAAGTCTTAACTTTAAAACTTGAAGATACGGAAAGCTATATCACATCTTCACTATGAAAATAAAAATCATCAAATTTCTGAAAGATTTTTGAAATTCTATTGAAGGGAGGTAGTTGTTTTATTCCCAAAAATTTTTTTATACAATTATTAATCGGCGACAGACATTTTGTCACATTTTTGATGAGAAGGATGCAATTAACATTAATATAAATCGGTCTAAATTCTGCAAAAAGTTTATCTTCATGTATTTTTTATGTTATTTTATAAGAAAAGAATATATTAAATATAATGTCTTAGAGCATATGGAATGAAAAAAGTCTAAAGTTCACATTATATCGTTGTAGCATATGCAAAATTTAATTTTTATTTTTTTTTTCAAAACTTAATAGCTTTGCTACTTAGACTCATTTTATTTACTATTTTTAGATAATTTTTTACTTATTATTTATTTATTTTTTTGTTTAATCATAATTTCTAACGCGATTTATGCTTTTTTGTTTTTCTTCTTTTTCTCAAAAACTAATTATTTCGTAAACTCAAAATTAATAAAAATTCATAAAAACTTGATATAAATGCTCAAAAATGCAAAAAAAATCGCTGACTATAAAAAACGAAAATAATGCAATTCGATCAACAAAACATGATGGATCATCTTTATCAAAAATAATCAACAAATTTACCCATTGGATTTATCAACCTATATAAAATGTACGAACGGAATAACAAAACTTTTGGAATACAAAAAAAAAAAAATATTTCCAAAAAATTTTCATCAAAAATTCTATAATGGCGCTTAACAAAAACAAAATTTAATAAAATAAAACACAAATATCATAAATTCAAAAATAAACAATCAAAAGGTGGGTGGCCATGGGCATGGAATTCTGCAGCGTGGACGAGTCGGTGGGCTCCTTGGCAACAAACTGGATCAACGTCCCGTGGCTCAAACAATAATAGGACAAGTGGAACCTCATGGAACTCGTCTCAACAACGTTCAACGTGGCATACGAAAACAAAATACAACAGCAGGTGAGAATAAACTAAAAATCACCCATTCTCTCTCTCTGTCGTTCAGACAAAAAAAAATACTATCATTGTTCTATTGTTAGATAGCTAACAATTTTCCTTTCTAGTATTAATATTTTTTTTTTACTTATTAACTGTATTAACATATTATTTTTTGATATCAATATATAATTTGATTATGTACAGAACACGTTTTGTTCATTCATGGGTACTCTCATTGCTTTTAAATATTTTTTTCTTCTTCTTCTTCTTAATGTCGACAAATTGCATGCTCATTAAGTTCACTCTTTTACGTTTCATACAAAAATTTTATTTTTTTCATTTTGATTGCAATTTTGATTCAAGTAGGCTTTATTTTTTTTAAAAAAAAATTATTGAGTCCACTTTGAATACGCTATTGATTGGTTTTTTAAACAAAAACTTTTTTCATTTAACAATTGGACAAAATAATTTTTGATGATTGAATATTATTTGTGTTATTGCTTGAATTTTCTCGGCATTCTAAAATTCTAATTACTTAAAAGTAAAAAATAAAAAAGAAAATTCAGTTATTTTAGTTGATATTAGAATTAATTTATTTTAGCAAAAACAAATATTATTTATTACATATTTAAAATTATTCACCAAATTTTTTTACTAATATCTTAAAAAAGACCTTTCAATTTCAATAATAAACTAAAATAACATCGAAAATATTAGAAATGAATCGATTAGTATAAATGTTTACTTAATATTTAAAAATAAAAAGTTTTAAGCTATATTCATAATGATTTATTTTTAAAAAATTGCGATTGATATTTTTTTAAAAAGGAAACACATTTATTAATTTTCTCTCCTGTATATAAATTTGTTTGCTTTATCTACTATCTTCAAACTCTGATTAATCCATTTTAAAGAAAAAAAAAGCAAAATTATACAATGAATCTTTAATCATTAAGTTAATTATACCACACGATTTACATCATTATAAAATTCTGTACTTTGTTATTAATTGATTAAAATAACATTTTGGTATGAAATCAATTTTTTTAAATAAATTTTTACTAACATGCTTGATGATTTTTTTTTTCATTCTAACAAATTGTTTGCTATAAATGTAATAAAAAAAAAACACCTTTAATGGCAATTTTGATAAAAAAAGGAATTATTCTTAAATTTTTAAAAAATTTAAAGTGAAAACTAATCGATTCGTTTAAAACACTTTATCTTTGTTTTTATCCTCACGCTTGATTAGAAGTTTTTTTTGTACAGTACCAGTTATTTTCTTAATACAGAGTTAAATGAAATTTTGTGTAGTTAAATGCTTTGATTGAAAAAAATGTATTTTTCAGTTGATTTTTTATCAATTAAAAAACGTTGATTTAATCTAGATTTCAATTTGAAGAATTAATGAATTTGAATTTTATTTCGATTTTACTTGTTTTGGACTCTATCAATTTAAATTTAAAACTGTTGTTATGAAAATCGTATGAATATAAAAACCCTGGCAAATCACAAAACAATTGAACTTGTTGGGATATCTGAAATTAAGTCGAAATCGTGAAAAGTTCAGTGATTCTTCAATTTCAGTCCTAGGAGCTTCCTTCTAGCCAAGACGGTAAAATTTGAGAAACAAATTTTGGCGTATAAATCTTTTTTATGACTTGCTCCGATGATATCTCGAAAATTCCAAAAATCCCTGACCCACTCACTTAACAATAAAATAATCCATTGGAATTTCAGGATAACATGTTCAAATGTTCTGAATTTTTTTAGGATTAATCCCGAGTGTAATATCATTGTTTCAAGCTTAAATTCAAAATTATTTATGTCGTTTTTATTTATACATGATCTAAAACTGTATTTCGTTTTATGATTTTTTGTTGATATTGTCATCGTTTATTTTTTAACCGCCCATTTTTCTTACTCTTAACCTTGTTTGTTTCAACAGCTGCACAAAGAAATAAAAACATAATATGATATAATATAATTAAATAAATATTTGAATGATTTTAGCAATATAATTAAAAACCAACTCTTGTCGGAAACTTATAAAATTATCAAGAAAACTAATTTATTTTTATAAACATTAATTTATATTGTTGTTGCTATGTTGTTTATTATTTCGTTCATTATCTTATCATTTTAAATATGTTATTCCTTTTTTATTATGTTTGTATTCGTATTGAACTGAAAATATCAAAATTTATCGTGTTGTCAGAAAAAAAAATATAACAAGACATAAACAATGTAGAATTTAATTTGAAAATTTTTAATATGGTGTTTCAAATTAGAATATTGGGATTCATAACAAGCTTCTTATTGGATAGAACAACTGTGATCAAAAATTGTTGACAAAAACAAAATTATAGGTGACGTAGTAAATAATAACATAAATGAAGATAATGAACTAAAATAAAATTTGTAAAATTGAAAAATAAAACAAAAAAATGCATTTAAAATTAAGTTTACACTTCCTTTTAAATATAATTTTTTTTTAAAAAAAAGTACATATTTTATTATAGAGTTTACGTAAAATCATATATATATATATATATATATATATATATACATATATAAATATATATATTTAAAAGGAAAAAAGCGTGTAATTAGTAATAAGTTCAACTATATGCAATAGACAATTAAATTTTAATATAAAGACATTATAATTGATTTTGTTTTTCCATCAACTAATTATCTCATCTATTTTTTCTTCTCTTCCTTGCTTCTTATTTGTAAACTTCTAATTAGTAATCGGTAAACGTAAATTTGATGGGTTGGGACAAAATCAGGGGGATCCAAAGCGACGTTTTGGAATAGGAAATGGTGGAAATTGGGGAAGTCAACCTTTGCCACAACAACCTCTTAATGGTGCAGAACAATGGTATACCGACACATATGCTGGATGGAGTTAAATTTCTATTTAAAAACTTATTTAAAATTTGCGGTCAACTTTTACAACAACATCAAACATCAATAAAATAAAATACATCAACCAATCAATAATGAAGGAAATATAGAAAAGATAAAAAAATACAAGTAAAATTTAATTGAAATGAATATTAAAATTAAAAAAAATTATTACTTTTTATTATTTTAAAACCCCTAATTTAAAAATGAAATGATGGACTGTCTTGCATGTCTGTGAATAAAATTTAACAAATTAATTTAAAAAATATGTTAATAGGATAACGTGATTTTAATAATTGAGGAAATAAAACTTTTTAAAACGTGTGTATTTTTGATGTACAGCAAACCCCTTACACGACAGAATTCAAAAGATGTATCTAATTTATGTCATAATTAAATCAATTACAAAATAATTTTGTCACCTTCGGTGACATTATGAACCAACATTCGTAAATTTGGTTTTTTTTTTCAAAATATCTGCGATACACACACTTACTTGAACCTTATTATTTCGCGAACCTTAAAACAATATTAGAAATATATTATGACTAATATTTTAAGTTTAAGAAAAAAATCTACTGTAACAGTAATCAGTATGAACAAAACTCTAATCGTGTGATTGAAATATTAACTATGGTCACCTATTCGATTATATTGCGCGATCATAAAAAAAAACTTTGCGTAATATATGTCAGAATTTTAAATAAAACTTCAAATAAAACTAATTCTTGATAAAGTTCATCATTTTACGTTTAAAATTTTTTTGTGCTTCTAGTATTGTTTGCATAAACATGTATGTGTTTGTGAGAGTAAATTTTTTTAAACTTAAAATAAGAGTCATGACATCTGCAAAACTTAGCTATAATAATTTTAAATAATGTCTAAAAGTTCACGAAAAAATAAGGTTCAAGTAAGTGTCATATATTCTGGTTCATAGTGTCCTCGCAGGTGGATTTTGTGGAACACAATTCAAACTATGTGTTTTTGTTATTAACTTAATTACAAAATAAATTAGATATAACTTTTGAATTTTGTTATTATAGGTCTCTGCCGTACTTCATATTCACTTTAAAATTAATAAAATAAAAAAAAAACATATTCGCAATGCGGCTTAATAGAATAGAAGTGGAATGAAATATTTTCTCTTCGACTGATTTTTCTACAAAAGAAAATCAAATGTAAAAATATTTTGTAATGAAATTTAAAATTACTATCATACATATAATTGATAAGGATACAATTTTTAGATTTTTTCAATGACTTATTTTGTATTAAAAACTTTCATTATTAAACAAAAAACTTGTCTTTCTTGATTAGAAAGAGTGGCGTTAATGGAGTTTTAAAAGAAAAAGGTTAAAAAAAATACTTTGATAACAGTAGCATTGATAGCATTCATATACACTCTCAAAGGAGAACGGTATAAACGTTAAAATAACATCTCAAAATCGAATTTATAAGATATTTCGTTTCGATTAATAAATACAAATACAATAGAAAAAAATGGAAATTTTCACACGCGGCAAGTTTGAACGGTCGATAACTATTAGTGGAAAAAACCAAAACACACAGCATGCATACAATAGAACATTTTCATTTTGATAACAATTAATAAGGGCTCGTTCATTTATTATGTTAAGCAAAAAAAAAATGACCTTTTGACCCCTTGTTACAAATTTTGTGTGAAAAAAGAGTCTTTTGTTTGAACTGTTCCAAAATCCTAGACCTTTCCTAAAAAGCATCGTATTAAGTGAACGACCTTAAACAGAAATGCACTAAAATTCATGAAATACAATTGTTTCAAAATAAATATACAAAAAAAAATAAGTTAAAATATTTAGTCTGCTAAATTTAGAACTTAGTCTATAAAATCATTATATTTTACTTATTTATTATCTGATTTTAAAATCGATTTCATACACTGTAAAACTTATTAAAAATTTGTAATGTTTTGAAGAAAACTGTAGAAAAGGCGTGTAAAAACAAGTAATGTCATGTTTTTAAGAAATCTTTAAATTAGTTGTATTGTATTAAAATTCTCAACAATCGTGTAGTACGGTTTTTTTTAACTACAAGGCTTAAAAGAATGATTTTCAAAATAATGCTAAACGGAGCACTTATTTGTCTAAAAATATTCATTGGTGATTAATCATTGGTGATTAACAAAAAGTTTTCTAACTTCAACACACCAATCACAAAAAAATATTTTTTTCATTTTCACACAAAATTTTAAATTTTTGTGAATATTCATATTTCTATTTTCAAATTATTCAAGTAGCATTTACAAATAATAACTGGTTTATTATAACAAATGCTAATTTTTATAAATTGATTCGCATTTTTATTCAGAAATTTCTCCATTAAGTAATCTCTGCATTATTTTTAAAAAACCTTTTTTATATTATAATTTTTTTTAACTTGCGAGCTAATCGAGCTATAAAGATGAATTATTTGAAGAGTTTAAAACGATTGGACAATGGAAAAATATAAACAAACTTAATTAAAATAGCCTAGTGAAAAAATTTGTCAAAATGCGCAAATAAGATCTATCAATTTTAAAATTTATATTTTTAAATTTTAAATCATTTTAAGTCACAAATAATTGACAATATCAAATTCATAATTGATGATATAATAATAATTAAGGAGCGAAAAACGTATTTGTGGTGTTAAAATAAAGATAATGAAAACTTAAATTTTAGGAAACTCAATATGAAATTACCTATTAGAATAACTAATTCAGACTAAATAATATTTAATCTAGTGTAACGGCTTTAAACCATATGTGGTTTATCAACTCTTGCTCCTCAATAATAGTTTAAAGCTGTTTTGATTTGGATCAAGATAAACGATATTCGTGCAAGTTGAAAGCCTAAAAAATTACTCATTCATAAAACTTCAGTTCTAATATTAATATTTTCTCCCATCTTAAAAATATAATAAATTCTTTCTTTAAAGAAGTGAAATGCTAAATGCAATTTCTCTGATGCCTCGTTTTTGAGTTATTATGTCTACCAACTTTCTATAGTTAGCTAGAAACATAAGTGTTTTTTTTTTCATGGAAAAAAAACAATTTCAATTTCGTGATTTGAGCATAACTTTAAATTTCAGGTTTAATCTTATTTACGAATAATATTATTTATGACTTATTGCTTCGTTTCTTGCATTAATGAATAAACAAAAAAAAATATAATATAATTGAGCGGTATTGCACGGTGAAAATAGAAAAAAAAAATTAAAAGAAAAATATTAAAATTAATCATTGACATTACTTTGATTTATGCATAAATTTTTTTAACACAAAAAAAAAAACAATCGATAATTTTTTATAAAAATTTTATTTTTTTCGCTAAAGTTTTTTAGTTGATAGCGTTTTGTAGTATATAACACTAATTAAAATTCAAATCTAAAACAATATTTTTTGGCTTTACAAAAGCACATAAAAATCAATATATTCCTCGAAAAACCTTGATGTTTTTTTTTTCAATAAAATTTCTAAAGTTTGATTTTAATTTATTATTATAATGATTAATCTCGATTAATTATACAAAAATCAATGTGTATGTATGTATGTATGAATGCAGAGATTTACAATGAATTAAAATTATCTGTGAAACAGTAAAGACTTACAAAACTTTTCAAGTTATAAAAAATGAAGCATTAAAATATATTAGCCACCATTCAAAAATTACATCCAACAAATATTTATGCAAAACGTCGCTTCTCCGAGCATAGAAATTTAATCTATCATAAAAATATAATTTTAAGTTTTGAAAAAAAAGATCAATTATTTAATAATAAATCACTTCAGATGAAAAATTAAAATCGTAAACTCCATCTAAAAGTAAAATAAAACTTGTTATAAAGAATTTCCTTCAGATGATTTTTTTTTTGAATTTTAAGCTTTTAATTGAATATGTTTTTTGAATTTTTTTGTTAGCTTTTTATTAATTTGAAATTATTTCGTAATATTTTAAATAATTTTAGATACAACAAATTATTCGAAAAAAAATATTGAGCTAATGGTTTTCATCAATTTTATAAAAAAAAAAGTATATCCGGTTTTATGAATTTTAAATATGAATTTCTCAATAAAATTTTTGTATTTTAGTTTAAGAACGGTAATTTGTAAACATTTATAAAAAATTATTAAATTCGACATACAAAAGAGAAAAACATAATGTTTTCTGTTTACATTACAAATTTTTGATTGCTTTGTAATTTAAAAAAAAACTAACGGTTCGGTAAAAATTGATAAAATAATGGAGTTAAAAAATGTACACAATTTTTTCACATTTTAATATAAAATTTCAACAATATTCAAAACATTCATCTACAAAGCTAAAAACAGAAGACTTACATTTACTTGATGTGAGTGAAATTGTATTTAAAATTCGTGTCAAATGTTTTATTAAAAATTTGTTACTTCATTATAATTCTTTAATTTTTAATATTTTGTTTCCGTTTTTATGTTTTTTTTGAGTTATAACTTTAAAATGTATTAATTTTCAAACATTAAAGCCGTAAGTGTCTCCCAATAAATTTTATTTATAATTTTATTTTTTATTTCAATCAAAAAAATCAAAATCTCAAATAAGTTTATAATAAAGTAAAATTTAATTGGGTACTAATTAACGAATAAGAAAATATTCAATATACTTATAGAAAACAAAAAAGAACACTTTTATTTAAATTGAGTGAACATGTGTTGAACTTTAACTTTTAATTTTGAAAATTTCTTTTTTTGATGTTTTTTTTATTAATTATATTCAATCAGCAAAAAAAAAGGGAAAGAAATAAAAAATGTAATACATGTTTTAACTAATTTGATTCGTTATTATCAATTTTTACACTTTTTTAACCATTTGTTTTTTTTTATGGTTTTCCACTTTTATTGTTTTTGAAATTTTAAAAATTATAGTTTTTCTTTATAAACTTTTTATTGTGATTCTTAGATACATAAATATATATATATATAAAAATATATATATTTGAAGTTTAATATACAAATACTGCTGACGAATATTAACAATAATTAATTTTAAAGTAATTTTGCTCTAATTTGACGATTATTTTGTTCTCTTTTCCTCCATCAATTTTTAAACTGATTTTACTTAAATCCATAAAAACTATAAACTAGCACCTTTAAGTTTAATTCCATTTTCTACTGTGTTTTTTTAAAATATATTTTACCATACTTTTACATTTATGTGATTGAAATATTTTTTCAATGTTTTAATCGTGGATTAACGCTAATTAATTTCAATTGATAGTTAAAAATAAAACATTTCTAAGGATTTGAGTTTCTTACTAAAAACCGCTTTTGTTTAAATAGCTTTGCTTCAAATAATTATCAATTTTGGGAGTCCTTCACCAAAGACTTGACTTTGAAACAGGTCAATATGAGAATGATTCAATTAGTTTTGGTCAAAAAATATATTTTGCATTGACAAAATTTTTTTGAATTGTACTAAAGGTGCTAGTATCAGTAAATAAAAAGATTAATTTCTCAGTTGTTATATATTAAGCTTAAGGTTTTAATTCAGTAATGGATGCAAATC